GAATCGCCGGTGAGTGGATGTTAAAAACGAATCGGGATCGATAATCGTGTAACTGTTTTTCTATGAGCACACCGAAGAGATAGCACCGGCAGCTTTGTTCCGCGTACGTCGGCTCGCTTTATTGGTAGGATCGATTAGCGCCGTCGAATCGAGAAAAAGAGAAGAGGCGCGCTGCGATTAAAAGTATTACACGGAATATCTGATCGCTCGTGATGATACATTCCGTTTACGGTAGTAAATATCGCAGCAAATATTGACGCGAGCGCGCGCGCTCACAATGGAGATAAATGAAGATACAACGCGGCGCGAACGTGTTCATAAATACTCGCGGGTGTTAAATGAAAGAATATGTATACACACACATACACACACACACACGCACGCACATGGGTAAACAGATAGCCGAGGGAAAATTGCGAAAAATATTATTAGGCCGGTGGCGGCAGTGGCTCGTCGAGCTCGGAAACGTGACTCGATGGAAGCTTGAATATAATTTTTCAGCAATTAAAAACTGTTTCGACGTCGATGGACTTTTTGCCGACCTTTCGACCTTTCGACCAACCGGCCGACTGACTGACTGACTCTTTTTCTCGAAAGCGAAGCTAACTTCTCTTTCAAATTCCGATCGGGTGAAATCGCGTACGTTGATTTTCATTGTCGCGGAACTCGACGTGGATAAATACGATTGATCAGCCCTAATAATATCGGGTGGCGAAAAAATAATTTCCGCCGTCGTATGAATTATTTTCGGGGGCTCTGCCCGCCCCGAATTTTACGATACACTCGAACGATTGGATTTCATACAAAATTCCGTGCAATTAAATTTCTTCCATTACCGGGGGTTCCGAAATCGCTGAAATATTCAGGCTGGCGGGAAATATAATTTCCCGGGCGAATAGATCGCGCATCTCGATAAAATCGCCTCGTTCCGAAGTGCCCCCCCCCCTTCGTTTCTCGCTTTCTTCCTCGCGTCTCGCCCCCGGGATGTCGGGGGAGGATATTCGAAACGAGTGGGGGGGGGGGGGGAACAAACGCGTAAAATAATGCACCTGATCGAACGACGTTCTCGCGAACGATGCGAAAATGAGAAACCCTACCTTCCTCCGCTCTGTTTCGCAGGAAATGTTCTCGAGCTTCTCCGGCAGGCAGCGGGTGCTGTGGCTGTTTTTGATCGAGATCGTCGTGATCGCGCTAATGGGGACATTGATGACGTACGGCCCGGAAGCGAGTGTTAATTTCCACAGAAATCACACAGGTCGGTATACAACGGGCATAGCGCGGCCACGTAAGCGCGTGCGTGCGTGCGTGCATGCATAAGTTGGTGGCCATGCGAGGCGCACACGTACACGCGATCGTGTCGCCTGGAAGGTGTGCGTGTACCGCCTTAGTTACGCAATAATATAGTTAGCGCAGTTAACGGCCGCAAATGGCACGGTGCTACTGCCAGCCGAATTTCCGAACGCGCTTATCTCCGTGTCGCGTGAATTACGGATAGTGTGTGTGTACTTGAGTGAGAGAGAGAGAGAGAGAGAGAGAGTATGTATGTATGTGAGAAGAGGTGGAACGAGGGGAGGAGAATGACATAATAGGGATCACGCGGGAATGTAAATTTAATTCTCGCGCGAAGGGGTTCCGGCGACTCCAGCGGTGAGAAAAGAGCGAGAGAAGGGATAAAAAAAGCGAGGAAGAAATCCGCGAGACTTCGCGGGAACGCGATTAAAGATTAAGAATCGGAGAGCCGGCAAATCTCCGGCGTCTCCGCGTTCTCGTTTCTTTCTCGCCTTCCTCTTCCCCCTCCCCCCTTACTCACCGCTCCCCTATCCCGCTCCCTTTCCGCTTTTTCTCTCCTGCGGATGTCTCGGCGTTTCCGCGGAGTTTCTCTCCCGCGGATCACTCGCGGAGTCGCCGTTCCTCCTCGTTGCGGCGGCGGAAAGTTGCGGTAAATCGCGCATACGACGCAACCGAGAGTTTCAGCCGTCGGGAGAGTTGGGAGAGAGCTCGTAGTCGCGTTTGAAATAAATGCTAATCAAACTTGCAGGTACCGCCGGCGCTAAAGCCCAGGACAAGAAACCAGAGAACGACCCGTTGCGAATTTATCCGAGTGAGTAAATCGAATTACAGCAGTCACATATTTGTATCTATCTCGAGAGGAAGAGCGGAAGAGGGTGGTGGGGGCGCGAGAAAGAGAAATATAAGTACACGTATCTCTCTCTCTCTCTCTCCCTCTCTCTTTCTCTCTCCCGTTCTCTTTCTCTCGCGCGCGTAACCGCGACAATACCGCAACGGGCGGCCGAAGGTGGGCGAAGAGGAAAAGTTCGTCCGTGAATCGCGCCCGGCCGAGAGGCGACTTTAAGGCGCTTTTCCCCGGCGCGTTTCTTCCCGCTGAAAGTTCTGCTTTTCTCGTCGCACGGGCGGGGAATAAATAGCGGCGCTATTGAATAACAAAAGCGCGACCAACGGTGTCGTTCGTTAGCGGGGACCGAAAATACCGAGCTCGGGAAACCCCGACGACGAGAATCCGCCGAGCCGATAAATAAACCCTTCGCTCCGCTTTCGTTCATTTCAACCCCCCCCCCCCCCCCCCNTGCCGTCGCGCGATCGATTAAATGAAAGGGTTAATTTAGCCCGTCGGAGAATGGGGACGGATTTTCTCCTTGCTTCCTTCCGAAGATTCCCATACATTGGCAGGAAAATGTCGGAAAGATAAAGAAGATATTTATTAATCGGATATTAATAACAGAATAGAAAATATACTGTTTATAATAATGTCCGCGGTATATGTATATATGTGCATATGTATACATATATTTAAATATTTATACATCACTTCTTAATGTCGCTCCTGAAAATCCGGCGCTCGATAAAGTTAGGAGAAAAGAAATTGTTAAACACCGTACAGATAAAAAGTTTTAGTTACAAGTGGGAGAGAAAGGAGCTGAAAGGAATTCGAACTGCGGTGCACCGGGTGGGGTAGAAAGGGAACGAAGCCTTCCTTTTCACCGAGGCCGCGTCGAGTTAATTCCGATTCACTGCCAGATACCACCACGTGTGCTGCGTATCTCGATTGATTTATCTACTAGTATTTGTATAACAAGCTGACTAATATATATCGCACTCTCAGATACACGGCCGAACATCACTAAACAGCTGCGATTCGCTATTAATAACGGTGCAGACACACGCCGCTCGTTCTGCGTGTGTGTGTGTGTGTGTGTGTTTGTATGCGTGCAACGTGCAATGGCCGATTTATCCCGCGAGTCTTCGTCGAAATTAATTAACGTTCGCTCGTCCGAATTACGCGCGCATGAATTCGTAAGTTTACTTTGCCGCATATAACAGCCTCGATGTGATTAGGGATTTACTAATATCGCGACCGATGATGCTGTGTGCGCCGATAACATCGATAACCTCGCCGATAACTTCGCCGATAATAGCGCGATGTTCGCGACTGTGTCTGAGAGAATTCGCGGCAGTGTCCGCGATTCGAGGGATGAACGCACGATTTTCGACGGACGATCGGAATTTTCGGATTGTGAGCGTTCCGTCGCCGCCGGCATTAATCTCGCCGGGATTTTATTTATGAGATTTGTTTTCGGTGAAATAATTGGTTGTAATCCACAATAAAGTGACTAAAATAAATAATTGACGGCTGGTAGAGCCAATCATAAAGGACGCCGGCGTTATAATTTGATCGCACGTCACATTAACCTATGAAGTAATACGGTGGAATTTAGTTTGAACGACCGTAATCTCGTTGTCTCACTGTGAATAATTACGTTCTTTTGATTAACATTTTACTATCACATTTTATACGATCATGTCACATCGTTATATCGTATGGTCATATCAGAATATTATTCTATCATACTTAATATGATTACACACGTACGGAAAAATATAGCGACAGCTCCGAAGTGCTGCAAATGGAAACTCACGAGAGAAAATATACATTTTTTTAACTATGATGTTTCATAAAAACACGATTGTTCGTTAAAAAACTAATTTAGATTTATAAATGAATATTATTAACACTCACTTGATAAAAATCTTTCTTTTTATAAAAATAACTCTAATAATAATAATACTTTATTGATCGGCCAACTTTTACATATTGTATGGCTAACGTTGGAAAAAATTACAGGAAAATTCAATTGGATGGCCAAAAGGCTGATCAACAATTTTGTAACTGGTATTCATCCAGCCCTCCAAGAAATTGTACGCAAAATTCTTCGAATTTAATATATCTCTATGTTTGAGTTTTTTTTAATAGAAATAATATAATTTAATATCAAATATCATTTTGTTTGAATGAAAATGTTGTTCTTTCGCTAAGAAACAACCATGTTATTCGATAGAAAAAACAATATTATTCAAAGGAATAATGTTTGACTTTCAATAAAGGAAAAATTCATTGTATATATTTAATATTGTCCCATTGAAACACACAAAAGAAGTTCTTTAATATTTTTCTAACATAGTGTTACTTCCCTCAAATAATTTATTAATTGTGACAACCATTGTAACGTTTGGATAAAAATACAAAGAAAAACTGTCACTTGACGCAAAGACATTTATCGTTTGAGGAACAACCCTGTTTGTTGAATCAAACATTCGTTTGCTCCGTTCTAAAAGACAAATTTCTCTCAATCAACGAGATTTTATCACAAATCCAACGAAAATCTCTTTCTATGTGTACATACCCGAATCTAATCTGATCCTCTCGCTAAGATTTAAGTCATCGCGCCCGACATCCAGCGACGGCTGTCACCAACCTCTGCTTCTCACTCCAGAACCTCCAACGCTTTTAAAATTATTTTTTCTCTTTTACATATGTTTTTCTCTCACACGTATGTGGAAAAATTTCGCGTACGACCAATGAGAATGTTATCGCGCTCGCTCATCGTATGCTTACTCCGCGAATGCTCCGGCGACGCCGTTCTTCTCGTCCGAATTACAATACCTCCCCCCCCCCCATTNTCTTTTTTTCTCTTTCTCTCTTTCTCTCACCGATTTATCTCGGCCGCGTCGGAGTTGCCGAACTCGACCCTCGACGTGACCCCGTGCTATTTTCGATGGCGATCGCTATCGCGCATCGGCGAAGAAATCCAGCGTTCTCGCGATCTTCGGTGGCAGTCCGGCTCTCTGAGCCAGCGAGGAAGATCCGCTCGCGATCTTCGTCACGAATCGTCACGAATCCCTTTCTCAGCCATGTCTTGGCGAGCGTGCAAGCCGAACGGGAGGCCGGCGAGTCGGTTGTTGCGGAACCTGAGGGATTACGCGCTGATGCACGCGGTCGTGCTCCTCGCGACCGAGGGCATGCTGATGTGCGGCTTCATCGTTATGTTCGAATACGCGCCGGAGGCGAACGCGACTAACCGGGCCAATATCTACGCGACCAGTCTCAACGGCCGCTCGGGCAAACTGCCGATCACGTACGCACGTAAGTCCCAGCCAGAGCGGACGTAGCAGAGAAAGCGGAAGAGAGAGAGAGAGAGAGAGAGAGAGGGGGAGGAAGAGAGAAAACGAGATCGAGAAATTAACACGAAAAGAGCGTGGAGGAAAAATGCAGAAAAAAGAAGAGAGAAAAACAGAGAGAGAGAGAGAGAGAGAAGTTGAGGGAAGGAAATAAAAATACAAAAAACTGAAAGAAAGGAAATACTAAAAATATTAGAAAATACTAATAAAAAAAATAAAAGGAAAAAAAGTACTGAAAAATATTAAATGGAATAAAAAAACTGAAAAGAAACAAAAATAAAAAATAAGGTAACTCCGGTATTTACGCCGCAGAAGTCAGAAAAAAAAAAGAAGAAAGAGTGGAAGCAATTTACCCGTCGTCACTCTGTTGTATGCTTTTATGTTAGTTATGTTATGTTAGTATTGCGTCATGATTTCCAATTTTTTATCGTTAATATTAACGAAACCCTCGTGAATTGGGTCGACTTCTCGATGAAGTGAGTAGCGTAATCGTATGTTATGATCTGCTTAAAATTATTATATACATAGGGAATGCAAAAGGTCTAATGATTGTTTTGCGATACATAAATGTCGAAGGATATTAAAGGACAAGATTTAGCAAAATACATAAATGCTTAGCTCTTGTATCCTTTTGTTTCACTTGATGTTTTGTATGTCCCACCTGTTTCGGATATACGGCACTTTTAGAAGTCGCCCCGAACAAAGAGTAACAAATCAACACGGATGATGCCGGAAGTAGTCCGTATTCGCGCGTTCGCATTCGAATTTACGCCTCGCGTGAGAGACGACGACGCTCCATATACTAATATATCGCTGCTGCTGCTGCTGTTGCTGCTACGTTGTAATCTCCGTTACGGTAATCGCGAAACTGCGGCGCGATCAAGCGATCGCGACGGTCAATTAACGCGCGATTAACACACGACTAGCCGTTGCTAATCGTGCGAGTGCAAGTAAGCGAGGCAAGCAAAGCAAAGTGAGCGAGGCGAGCAAATAACGGGGGGGGGGGGGGNTTAACCGCACGCGAGGCGCATGCATGTGCTTACAAAAAGGGCTTTTGTTGTTTGTTCTCTTCCCGTTTGCTGCGGTTAAAACGGCGCAGTGTATCAAGATGTCCACGTGATGATCTGGGTCGGCTTCGGTTACTTGATGACGTTCCTCAAGCGGTACGGCCAGAGCGCGGCCGGCTTGACCTTCCTCGTCGCCGCCGTGCTCGTCCAGGTGGCTCTAATCTGCAACGGCGTGACGGACACCTTGACTGGCGCCAAGGCTTATCTCTCGTTGGAAAGGTCAGTGTCTTTCGCTCACTCTCTTCTCTCGCTTCTCCTCGTTCGAGCAAGCTCGGAAGCTTCGGGTAGTATCCGTGAATGTTTTAAGTACCGATCAGACACCGGGGACGGTACTCGTGGAACGTTTGAGTAACGGGGAGGTAGATACCTCAGTATCCGGCTGGTACCCACGAATTTGAGTACCGGTGGCTGAATTATTCAAGCGTATTCCGCACGTGCAACGACGAGCTGCGAAGCTGAGGAAAGCCGAACACCGCTCGGCCGGTTTCACCCGCCGCAACCCGAGCAGTTTCGATAACGCTATTACGAAACAAAAAGATCAGACCCGGCGCTGTCACACCGCAAATTTGAGTACCCGAACGGACGCCGGTGGTTTCCAGCGACAGTCCTGATTCTCTCGGCTCGGTTCGAGCCACGGCGATGGCCGAGGGAATCCCCGGGCTCGCTCAGCGCTCGAGGAATCGGAATTACATTTGCAGATGCGCATGCATATGCATGCGCCGATAAATCTTCGATTGTTTTCTGTACCGCCCTCGGCGGGCCGATCTGTAATTCGCGACTGGCTTCCCCCGCGAAGTCTCACTTGCGATTTTACGCGTCGCTTAGCGCGCCCCAGCGGACGGATCCTTCGCAAGCGGCGCTTTCCGACCGATCGAAGCTCGTCCGTGCGCGCGGATTATTAGATCGTCCGCGAAATGAAGCCCTCCTGGTGAATAATCGGCCGAACGCCGATGGGCCGGGCATATCGCGCATAATCACACACAAACGCGAGATTTTTCTCCCGCCGCCCGAAATTCGCCGGAAATTGCGCGCTCGCGGAAATTAACGCACGGTAACGCACGGTAACGCGTTGCTCGCGGCTGGCTTACCGACATTTATCGCGGCAATCTCGCGGCCGTCGTGCAAACATATTTGCGATCCGGCAACCGGCGCGGAGGGCCAAAAAAAAACATCCTTCGCTCCCTTCCGGAACGGAGAAGAAAGATAGATAGATAGAGGAAGAGAGAGAGAGAGAGAGAGAGAGAGGGAGGGAGGAAGGGAGCGTCGGAGCTATTATCGAACCGCGAAAACACCGGGCGAACTGCCGCCGGAACAAACTCGGCGATTGATATTTGCTTTCGATTCTCTCGGTTGCGATGAGGTTTGCACGAGGGGTGGGGGAGGGGGGGGGAGGAAGGGCGCCAAAATTGTTGCTCCGGCTCGCTCATCATCTCTCTCTCTCTCTCTCTCTCGCTCGTCGGATTCTTCCGGCCCTCCGCGAATCCTCCATAATAACCACCTTCTCTCCTCTGATAATTACGTATAATTTCATATTGTTACGAGAAATGTATCATAATAATGTTCCTTTTTCCAGCGAAACTTTCAAAACGAGGGCTTGACGAAAGTCTAATGCCGGGCTCCGCACGCGGCATGTTAATAATTAATTACCCGATCAATTGCCATCGAATATTCGGTCTGCAGGGCGACGACCGATCAGCGTCGTCCGTTCGCGGAGATAATGGATCGGTAGATTATTTCGGGAGAGCAATCGGCGCGACTTTCTACTTCCAGCCTTCTCGGCGCGGACGTGGCGGTCGCCGCGCCGCTCATCTCCATGGGCGCGGTCCTGGGCAAAACGACCTACATGCAGCTGATATTCATGGGAATCGCCGAGTTGATCATGTTCAACGTCAACAAGTACGTGGGCGAGCATCTGTTCATGGTGAGTCCGGCCGTTTCCTCGGGAGCGAGTTTCTCGCGGGCCGCCGACGACGCATCGCCCGGAGGCTGTCGTCCACGCTTCACCCTCACCCCTCTCTCTCTTTCTTCCTCTCTTATTGTTATATATATCACTATCGTTATTACGATTCTACTATTATCGCATGATAATTTGGTAATTACATGAATTTTACGATCATCGCAATAATAACGTCGTAATTCGATTAATTTTACAGAATTATCGCGATGATTCTATATAATTCTATTAATCCTACAATTATTGTAATAATTCCAGAAAATTATTACAATAATCACACTCACGAGGTAGGGCGGTTTTCTAATGAAATTGCTCGCGTATCCCCCTCGCTGTTCGCTTGCTTGTCGTTTTCCCCGTGTGAATTGTTATCACACGTCGTCACGCGGCCGTATTTTATCGTGCGTCTAACACGCGGCGTGTGCCGAGTACGGAGTATCCCTCAAGGCGAATGAATAAATCTACCACCGTTCCAACTTCGTTTTTCCGCGGTGAGGAGGGTGGTTGTAATTCACCGTTTAAACCGCACCGCTCGTGTACATCTCGCAGGCGGTCGACGCCGGCGACAGTATGTTCGTGCACGTGTTCGGCGCGTACTTCGGACTGGCGGTCAGCTACGTGTTCGGGACGAAGAGGGAGCCGAAGGAGCACGAGCTCGAGGGCGCGTCCTACCAGTCGGACATATTCGCCATGATCGGTAAGTGCGAAGAGCTTGTCATCCTTTTCGGAAAACGGGTTTACGCTCTCACAGTGGCCCGTTGGCGGCTACACACCTGGATTTCTCCGAATGAACGAACGAATGAATTCACGGAGGAGCCGGAAATCTCGAGAACGCCCGGACGTCGAGCGGGATTTCATTCCTCCGTTTTCTTTTTCTTATCGCCGCACAGCTCTCCTTGCGTCGGTTTCTGTTTCCGAGGCTTTTTTTTTTCCACACAGTCGAGAATGCCGATTACGCACGTCGTTCGTTTCGTTAAGTTGAATGCGCGGAGTGCGACTAATCGCCCGTGAAATATTTACCTCCCGGGATACAGAGAGAGCCGGTGAATGAAAATGGAAAATGCACGTAGGGCGTTCCGATATTAGACCGGGGAACTTCGGCGAAACCGAGCGATTTTTGTCGGTGGACACGTGCCCGAAGATGAAAAGCGAACGTTGTTAATTTCATTATCGGAAAACGAAGTAAATCTTACAGTCGTTACAGTCGATAAATGATTAATAAATAATGAATAAATTGAGCGAAAGTGAGACCGGCGGTGGGGAGTTCCCGACTCGTAGAACGTGGAACAGCTCGTCATCCTCGTCCTCCGGAGGCGGGCGGATCGAGCAGGGCTGACGATCGCGCGCTGCTCCACAGGTACGCTGTTCTTGTGGCTGTTTTGGCCGTCGTTCAACAGCGCGGGCCTGACGGGCGACGATCAACAACGCGCGATAATCAACACCCTGTTGTCGATATCCGCCAGCTGCGTGACCGCGTTCGCCGTCTCCGCGTTGGTCTCCAACGGCAAGTTCAACATGGTGCACGTGCAAAACTCGACGCTCGCCGGCGGCGTCGCCATCGGCACCGCCGCAGGTATTCCTTCGCACTTCGTGCTTTCGTCACTGTCACTCGTCGAAACGTCCGAAAGGGCTGTCCATTCGACACTTACGTCACGCTAAATTTGAGAATTTTTCTCCCCCTTCCGACCCATCTTAATCACAATTTCGTCACGAAGTACTCGTCTTCTTCCGGTATTACGGTGACACGTGGAATTACCCCTCCTCCTCCCCCCCTCCCCGTCGGCATATGGAAGAAATAGCTCGTAATTATATTATGGGTAACGATTATTCGACTGTACGTTATTATTCTTGTCTGAGATGCAAATAATTTGTCGCCGTATAATATCAAAATTAATCGCTCATTAATTACTTAATTTCACAATTTTGATCAATGCGAGCTGTATTTCTAAAAGAAACAGATATCTGAGAATTCACATTTTGATTATTAACGCAAAACCGCGCGCCGAGACCCGAAGTTTTTCACCGAGTGTAACCAGATGTGTCACGAACGCAAACAAAGTGGATAACCACGCGCATCCGTATTTAACAAATTATGCCATGTAATGTTCCGTGACTCCCCCCCCCCCTCTCTGCCATCATAGACCGTCATGCAAGCTAATAGATCCCCCTTCTTCTTCGTGGTGTGACGCAATTGTTGAATGGTCCGAAAGTTGCCATTTGAGACGAGTCGAAAACCGCAATTCGATCGCTGTCCTTCGATCGTGCGGAGAAATTGCCAGTTTTTTTTCCCCTCAAATGTGTGTGAGTGTGTGCACGCAGGTATGATGTGCGGCGGCGTGGGCGCTCTCGCCGTCGGGGCTGTGTCCGGGATAATCAGCGTGTTGGGATACAAATACCTCACGGTAAGCGTTATTGTGTAACGAGTGAGTAAGACGGAAAAAGAGTTCGGCCGGATGAGCAATAATCGAACTGAACCGCGCGTTTCGGTCGAAGGAAACCGGAATTTCTGGCCCTTACGAACCAAACCAGCTCCGTTGGTAAGCGGAAATTCTGCTTGATTTGACCGAAACGCGCGCTTGATACGTGGGAATACATTAAAAGCATAGAAATTACATATTAATCGAATCTTTATTTGATGAAAGAGAGAAAGGGAGAGAGAGAGAGAGAGAGAGAGAAAATCGTTCGATAAATGGATTATTGCTGGTGGAAAATAGATTGAAAAATCGATTTAAAAAACCCGCAATTTGGTCGCCGTTGTTTTCGCGCGCGTCTTTCTCTGATAAATTAGATTTATCGAAGAGTTTGATTCGATTTGCCAAATTTGCCTTTATCGGACAAATTATTCGCCGAGCGGGTGATCACTGTCATTGTCTCCGGCATCCTCCGACAATGTTTCAACATTCTCGCTCCTGTAATATATGTACGTGATTACTTCGACTGGAAAAGCGAATCAGAAAATCACTCTTTGATCTGATCTGATAAATCGTTTTCCTCTGCTATTCGCATCGTCGAGGCGCACGACGCAGCGCCAGTCAATCCCAGCGCGACTCGCGGCTCGAAAATTGCCGCGAGCGTGGACATTTTCGTTTCAGTGTCTTCCCAGACCGTTAATTAACCACGCCGGGTAATATACGCCGGTGGAGCACACACCGAGGGGAGAAAGAGTCTAAAAAATAAAAGATATTTATTCGGTGAATACTAATAACGCACTCGATGTACTAATATAAATATTTTTACACCGAGAAAAATTGCTTCGAGTGAGAGAATATATTCTTAATTTTCAGAATATACATTTTATTATAAATATACGTTTCCTGAAATTTTTTAGAATATAAATTTTCTTAATTTTCAAAATATGCATTTCCACAATTATCTTAACGTACATTTTCTTAATTTTCAAATAATTGCATTTCCTCCATTCCTTCCTGCGGAAATGCAATTGTTTATTCTACTTGAACCAACGAATTTAGATTGATGTAAGTGACGTTATCGGTGACACGCCGGAGGAATATTCTTCTCTCTTAGACATTTTTTCCCCCCTCAGTGTATACCGAAAATGTAAATGGGATATTAGGAGGGTAGGGAGGAGGGCGATATGCGAGAGGTAAGGCGAGACGGGTAAATTCACATCCCTCCTTCCTGCTTGCAGCCGATGATACAGAAGCACATGCGGATCCACGACACTTGCGGGGTGCACAATTTGCACGGGATGCCGGGCGTGCTGGCGGGACTTTTCGGCGCGCTTATGGCGGTCATTGCGACCGAAGCCGTTTACGATTACTCCCTGTACGACGTACGTAACTCGCGCGAATTAATCGTACGGTCCTTGCCGTATAATTAATTCTCTAAAGTACATTTACCGTGGGAGGCGCGGAAGCCCGCGCGCGCGACGTTAGTTGCCAGAGCGATCGCGAATTTCCGAGTAAACTTTAGCGATAATTACCGAACCGAACTGATGAAGAAGTGATAGTCGTTTAAGGCCTCCCCGCCAGCTATGTAGTTCGCGCGCGAGTACACCGCATACACCGCGGCCCTCGTCGCACGACAGCGATATATCGCGAGACTTATTATTAACACGTTGACTGCCGCGAGGATCGTCGGAGCTCCCTCTCCTCCGGTGAGCGATCGAATAAACCACCGGTCCGTTCAGTTTTATCTTGTTACTTTTGATCACGCTCTGATCATTACCCCCTCGTCATCTCTCTCTAATCACTCTACCTTTCGTCGCGGTTTAATCACACCTCGGCCATTAGCTTTATCATACCTCAGTCATTGAGTTCTTTCATCATCCCTCGATCGCTCTACCCCCTGTCAGATGGTTTCATCGTATTTCGACGTTTAATTAAAAATCTACGGACATAAATATATATCAATCTTTCCGTATCACTCCATTATTCACATTACCGAAATGAACATCGCGGAATATTCGGCCGAGCGAATTCTACTCGCGATCGCGAGCCTCGGCCGATTGCGAAGGCTCCGAGAGACCGTCGCGACGTTCGACGTTACCTCGTAAGAATTCCCGAACGGACGAACGAAGAATACAGAATACGCCAATATTTATTAATGTCGCTCCGCTCGCGCGCGCGCTCCCCGCTCTGGCGACTATTTTGTTTCACCTCCCACGGCCTCCCCGCAATATTAATCGCCGGCCGGCCGTTCGCGACAGATCTTCCCGGCGCGGACGCCCAGCGCGGGGCAGAAATTCGCCGAGCTGCGGGACAATATGCGCGGCGAAATCTCGCCGGGATACGATCGGACGGCGTATCAGCAAGCGGGATTTCAATTACTGGCGCTGGTGGTCACCCTGGGAATCTCCATCGTTTCCGGATTAATAACAGGTATGTGCGTAATCGATTCCGGAGTCGCGTCGATCCTCGGCGGCGCGCGCGAAAGGCGAGGATGCCGGCGAGCGCGACGACCGCCGGTAAACCGCGACCAATATGCAGCGTGTGTGTGTGTGTGTGTGTGTGCAAAAGTGAAGGAAAGGAGGTAAGATGACGAAGTGGGTAAGACGGTGATTTGCTAATAACGTAAATAATGACTCGGTGCCCCACTCATTAGAGATTCTGAATAATAATAAATAATCTGTTGCGCAAATCTTTGACCTCGATTTGTTAACAGCAGTAGATAACATAATAAAAGCCGTGTTTTCGCCTCGATCATACGTAATATCGATAAGCTTAGAAGTCGTCATTTTACCACTTATTTCTCCACTGTATACGCTATGTATACAAGTGTGAAAAAAAAATAGATAATAGATCGTCCGGAAAATGTAATATACATATGTTCTATTCTCAATACTCACGTGGTTGCGGTTTCGACAATTTTTAATTTCGTCATAGTAAAATCGCACGCTCGGCACAGTCGGCGTCACATACGCCGTATCACACCCCCAGATTGAAAACGTGTGAAAGGCAGAAGCTCGAGTAATAGCAAAAAATCTCAATCTAGAAAATGATAGAGCGACATAACACTGATCGTGCTAAGAATAAAACCTACGTTCGTATAACATTTTTCATTCAGAGAAACCCCTCCCCCCCCCCTCCAAGTCGGTCGAAGATTTTTTCCGCATTCACTTCGAATCATTCCGCACATACTGAATTAATACGAAAGTCCGTTTTCCAATCGAAAATGTAACACGTAACATTTGTTCGCTTTAAAATACGACCGATCAATTTTAACAGTGCGTTGTTTCCGATGACGACCGGGAAATCTCGCCGGTAGCTGCGTGATTCCGCGCTCGTGGAGATTTCGGGAATTTCTGAGCGAGGAGCTAATTAAGAAGCGGAACGAACTTTTGCGTGAAAGCTGAAACACATCGGTATCCGAAGCTTTATCGTGAGGAAGCTGTATCGCGCGGGGCCGAATCGGGAAATCCCGGGGGGGGATATTAGAAAAATCGGGGCCGCGGGATTACGTCGTGCAATCGTTGAAACCGCGTCCCCTCAATTTGCGCGCAGGTCACCTTATGCACGTGCCGGCCTGCGGCTCGATCACGGAGGAGGAGAAATTCGACGACAAGGCGGTGTGGGACCTGGAAGAAGAGACGTTCACGAGCGGCAATAAGCGCACGGACACCCAGATACCGATGGGCCATATGTAATCGCGGACGCGCCTCCCACGCGAATTATCCGGGCACGCCGATGAGCCTTATCGTTAAGCGGTACGTATTGACGATCTAATCGCGCTGATTCCGGACGGGAATAGATATTGCCGGTAATATCGGGTCTCGCGCGCGGCTATTATCTTCGAGATGTGAGTGAAATTGTGCGGAAATGAAATTAACGTTCCTCACGTCTATATCAACGTCTGTAACAACAAGTATGGGTTTCAAGTGTAATCGCTTATTTTTGGAACGTCCGGTCTACATGTGGAAATGGCTGTATAACGTATAACCCAGCCAGAAGTGCAAAGGCCAATCGATGTCGGTTGTAGTGGTCTACAGCGGTCGGAATTAAATGTTGGAAATAACGCGAGAACGATCATATAGAACGGAAATGAATGTAACGATGACATCGACGATTACTTATATTGTGACTCTTATCTCACCGACATTCTTGCACTCGCTGTTACAACTGTTCCGAACTTTATTCAGCTTCTTCGTAACTTGGAAACTTATAGAGGTTGCTTTTTTATTCAATTGATTTCATTATTCAATTGATGTGAAAATAATATTTGTCATAAGGTCGAAAATGAGGAAATATCGACGTCGACTATTCATCGGCGCATCGATGTCGAATCGACGTCAATTCTCATTTCTGGTTGGGATAAATTCATGCGATATGATATTATCTTATATATCACAAAATAATATTCTGGGATATAATTTTTCATATATAATCAGATGTAATTATATACAAAGTGATGATGAAGTTGTGTGTATATATATATATGAGAAAATTTTCCCCGGGATATTATCTTGATAACATATTATGATATGATATTTCACTTTATATATTATATTAAATATCACATATATGTGTTACATGCATATGTTATGTGTTACAAGATATATATTTCATATGTATATTTAATCTTAGATCCACAATGGAGATCCCCGTGCACCGAAGCAAGGCGGTGTTTGTGCCTTCGATGCACGAGCGTCTCCTTCAGGATATGCACTTGCAACGGGGAGTTCAAGAAACGGCGGTGCTGGAATTGGCACTTTGTCGTCAGGACGAGGACCATCCCGATCGCGCAGCCCTTCGTCTTCGAACTGACCAGGCAGAAGAACGCCTACGCCCGGCTTATAACTCACATCAACAGCAATTCCACTTCTCCGGAGTTACGCGAATTCCCAGAGCAAATGGCGCTGTTTTCGAACAAAATGCCGCGGTGGAAAAATAGAGAGCAGTGTATTAAGAAATATATTATATCGAGATGTCATGTTATGTTGTACTTGTGAATAATAAACCTGATATTATAAAGTATGTTGGTGCTTCGTTTGAATACTTCACAAATCAAGTATTAAAATTATATAATGAGGGAATATAGCACAGAGAATATAACATAATATAATGAAAAAAAAAAAAAAAAAATATATATATATATAAGAGAATATAACAAAACATATAATAGACTATATATTATGTATTTTAAATATATATAATATAAAATAGAATGTATTAGATTGAACACATAAATTGAATTTAGACTTAATACTTAACCCTTTGCACTCCAGCCTAGTAATGCATAGAGGCTATTAGTTCCAAGTACATACCTATGATGTAGAAGAAAAATAGAGTCGTTTCAATAAAACAAAATTTTTATTTCTTAGCTATTTTATAACAAAACATATTCTAACTTATATTATAAAAGAAAAACATAAATTTTAGGACTTAAAATTTCTTAAAGTGCCGAGGCAGCAAAACAACCATGTCGCCGCTACGGCGACAGCGGAGTGCAAAGGGTTAAAGTTTCCGACCATCTGATTTATCATTGACCTATTCTACTTGCTGAGGAACATTTCAGCTCTCTGACTTATCATCGACTTATCATTCCACTTTTTCGAGAAAATTTTCAGTTGCCTGACTACTTGATCGAACATTAAAAAATTTTCTTGATCAAGTAGTACAAGTCAACCATAAGTCCGGGAGATCGAAAGTTTTCCTAAACAAGTAGTACAAGTCAACACGACGAATCGGAAAAATTTAATTTTCATGACAGGACGGACATTTGTAGAAAAAGAAAGAAGAGAGTTTAAGTAATCTAAAAATATATCATATGTTAACATTATACTTGTTTTTATTACGTGTTGTGTATTATGTTATAATATATATACAACATTACATTACAATATAATGTAATGCAATATAATAAATGCAATATAACATAATGCAGTGTTATATATTATGCAATATAATGCAATATAATACAGAAAAATCGAAAATAGCGTAACATGATACAAATAACTAATATAAGGACGGTGGCGGCTCGTAGCGGTGATTTCAGAACTAATAAAATAAGAGAGATATGGCAAGTCACTTAGTCAAGATTCAAACCTTGCTTTAGCCAAGACTCGAACCCTCTTTAGCCGAGACTCAAACCTTATATTAAACATGTTCCTGTTAAAGCCGCTAGATGGCACAAAATAACAATTATTCTCTTTTATCGGGTGTACTGTTATTCTGACGGCCCATGTGGATTTAAACACGTGCCTCCGCGAAGTGTTAATTGAAATAATTGGTGTTAAATTTATCACACGTTTTCTTCGATAATATAGACGATGGGGAAGAAGGATAAGGGTAAAAATAAAAAGAAGATGAGCGGCAGCGAGAAGACGGCGTTAAAAACCGAGAAGAAATTGAACGTCCGGCAGAAAAAGGAGTTAGCTGCGCTCGGAGAGGTTATATTTGCCTTTCTTATTTACATTGATAATTAAGAAAGAAATTGATAGAGAGAGGAATTAGAATTTAATTTGAAAACGAGAACAAGAAGGGGCCAGAAAATGGAAACTTCCAACATGTTAATTAAAAACGTTATGTAGAGAGAGGGAGAGAGAGAGATGTTGGAATTAAAAGAAGTAATTAGAATTAAGAGGAGCAAGCAGAATGAAGAGGGAAATTGTGATAATATATAATTAAGAATATTACTTGTTACCGTAGGATGACATAGAGAAGGTAGTGGCGGAGATAGAACGAGAGGCAGCTCGTAGACAGCGTGTCAAGGAAGCCGTAGTTGAGCCACCGTCCAGAAGAGTAAATTTCACCCTCAATGCACACCCGTTCAAGGACGAGCTCATCATGCTCGGCGGTGAATTCTACGATGGCCGACAGGTATTTGTAAAGTTAATTAGACGGATGTTTAATGCAACGATCATATGACAAGAAATAATCATACGACGGATGAATCATTTCTACAATTGGAGATGCGAATGAAGTAAACTGAAACCTTCAGAAGTATCAAATATCGAACAGCACACGGAATGATATTTAATATAGCAAGTGATATTTTCAGATGATAATTAATATTAGCGAATAAACGTGTCGAATGTTTGATAATAATGAAATAAGAGATACACGACTTATCCCGTTTTTATTTCCCAGACTACAGTGTACGGAGACATGTTTATCTACAACATAAATAAGAAGGAGTGGTCGGTGGTGAAGGCACCCGGAGCGCCGCCTCCGCGTTGCGGCCACCAAACGGCGAGCACCGCCGCGCGAGGTGGAGAACTGTGGGTGTTCGGCGGCGAGTTCTCCAGCCCCAGCGAGTCCCAGTTCTATCACTACCGCGACCTATGGGTGTTTCTGCTGTCGGAGAGAAAATGGGAGAAAATCACGTACGTGCGAAATGAGAAGAATGACGGGACATTTCACATTTCTGGTCTGCACTTTTCAGCCGAACTGGCCGAACTGGCCAGTTCAAGGAATTTATCTGCACTGAAGCGTGAGGATCGATCTCGCACGTGTGCTTCGTACGCTTCTGCGTGTGTGTAAATTTCTTGAACGCGGCTAAAAAGAACGGGCTAGATGCTAAATCGCTCTGTTACCGGAATACGAGATGTTGAAGTGTCGGTAAACATTGATAGCGTAAAAATGTCACGATGAAAGATCAATTGTTATTACATTGTTATTGTACAATGGAGGAATCGTTGTGACCGAAGTGTAACTTGTCCTCAGAGCTCCGAATGGTCCATCTGCAAGAAGCGGCCACCGGATGGTACACTCGAAGAAACAGCTGATCGTGTTCGGCGGCTTCCACGATAATCTCAGGGATTACAAGTACTTCAACGACGTCTACGCGTTCGATCTCGAGACGTATGTGTGGCGCAAGATCGAGCCCGCCGGTAATACAAGCGGATTGTCGTATCTTAGAAGAATTATTGCGACGATGTGTTGATATTCGGGAAAAAAGTGATTATATATGAATTTTGCCTTTATACACCCATGTATAATTACTATTGTAGCTATATAGAGACAAAATTCGTACATAAAAATCACATGTGTAATTATATATAATTCTTTATAGGATTGTATAAGAATTTTTTTCCCGGATACACAATACTAATATAATATATAAATTATGTGTGTGTGTGTGTAAATGTAAGTATAAGTGTAAAATCTAATTATATTAACTTGTGTATGTGTGTGTATATATATATATATATATATATACATGTATAGATATATAAGTGAATATAAGTTGATTAAATTAAATTTAAGTTATAATTAACACGCGGATAATTAACATTGCGGACGGATGACGAGATATCTCGTCTTTCCTATTTCGTCGTTAGAGGCGAAAACATACCCGGCTACTGGGTACGGTTAGCAATAAAATGTCTGGTCCGCAATGTGTTAACACTAACAACAATATATACATTAATATAAGTTAAAAGTTAAATCATATAATTCAACGATTTCAGGCATAGCGCCCGCTCCACGCTCCGGCTGTGTGGTACTGCCGACCCCCGACAACAAGATCCTGATGTACGGCGGCTACAGCAAGGAAAGGGTGAAGAAGGACGTGGACAAGGGTCGCATTCACGACGACATGTTTCTTCTGACCCCGGACAGTCAGTTATTTTCCTCTATAGTTAAAAAACCGTTTTTTTTCTTTTCTTTTCAATTTTCCCGCGAAAAGAAATCGTAAAATAGGAAAGAACCGATTTGTTTCCAATTTTCCGCGGGGAGAAACGGAAAACATTCGACGGAAAGTTGTGGGAAAAAATCGATTTTTCTTTAAAACTGTATTTTCCTCTTCCTTTTTTTTTTCTTTTGTATTCAACGCGTACACTTTTTTACTCAACGCACGATATAAATATAAACAAGTAGGATAAATACGTCGCGATGTATGACGCGACGAATATTTATTATGTTATAAATAATACGACGGAATTTCAGAGAACGACGCGACCAAGTACAAGTGGGTGAGCGTGCGGCAAAGTGGAATGCGCGGGACTCCGCGTTGCGGCGTCTCCGCGGCGCTCGTTCAACCCAACCAGGCGCTGCTGTTCGGCGGGGTGCAGGACGAAGAGGAAGAGGACGACGAGGACGGTCTGCGTGGCACGTTCTACAAGGACCTGTTCGCTCTGGACCTCGAGAAGTTCCACTGGCACAACGGTGAGCGCCCGGTTTTAACTCGCGAATTACACCCGCCTATATCTTCATTTCCACCACTTCCGTCACGTTCATGAATTCACCGGCGAATGAATGGAACGAGCGTTTGAAAGTATTTACTAACAATCTTCGAATCGCTCCGTATGATAAATTGTATGTTCTCGCAGTGACGTTATGCGGGAGGAAGGAGAATACGGCGACGGAGCGACGGAGAAGAAGAAGGCAGAAGGAAGAAGGGGACGAGGAAGGTGAAAATCAGGAGAGCGATGATTCCGGGGACGTGGAAATGTCGGATGAGTCGCCGGCCGATCCGGCGCGGCCGGGCACGGTCACCGTTGAGGACGGAGTATTCACGGTATTATTGTTGCCTTGCAATTACCTTCGTATATTCTGAATATCAGTGTTTGACGCGTATATATTGTCACAACGCACGATAATCACACGCAATGATCACATTATAGACAGAAATATGGTTGTATCGTGATTATCACATTTTAGATATATAATGATTATAATATAACAGCTATTGTATTTTATCATTTTAATAAGAACGGTGTGGAAACATCGCTTTATTTCGTCGAAACGAACGAACTCTTTCAAACGAATTCTCCGCGCTTTCGCGCGAAACAGATGACGCTGGGCCCGGTCGGCGCGGTTCCCGCCACGGAGATCGGCCCATCCCCGGGCGAGAATTCGCGGGAAGCCGCCACGTTCTCGCCGTCACCGCGGATGAACGCCGGAATGGTGGCGAAGAACAATCTCCTGTATCTGTACGGCGGGATCGTAGAGGACAGTGATCGGCAGTACACCCTCAGCGACTTCTACAGTCTGGGTATCGTCCTCGTGTGATCATCGACGCGCCTCGTCATCCGAAGCGGCTTCACTTATGCTTCACGTTGTGCCACAGATTACCGAAAGCTGCAGGAGTGGAAGACGCTGATACCGGACAGTTTGAAATCGCACACGTGGTTCGAGTCGGGCTCGAGCTCGGACGAGGACGACAGCGAGGACAGTAGCGAGGATGACTGAGGATAACCGAAGATAACCGGATGCTGATCAAGACTGAGAATGATTTGTGTATAATATGTAAATATAAAATCAAAGCCAACGGTAGTATCTGACCTTTTTTCGACTGAGAAAATGACAATGAAATGATTTTCAGTGAGTTCACGCGATAAATTGTTATCTGTTATCTTTGGCATCTAATGCGGATCGATAATATGATCGTTGTAAATGTCGCGTTTTGTTTCGCACCGAAATGTAGATCCGCGTTTTTTTGCGCTCTTTTTGCGATCTGTTCCCCCCCCCACTTTTCCTCTGTAAATATTTATCTAAATATCCAAATGTTTTTCTTCAATATTTTTTTAGAAACCTGTTGGCGAGGGGACGCGTTTTAGCTGGACCTTACGCGACTATATTTAGGAAATTTAGGTACAAATAGATCTTGTTTACTTATTAATCACACGGTACAATGACAATTATACAACTTTCGAATTAGATCTCTTGTTGCTTCAATTTCGGGGAGGCCTTCGGCTTTTCCGTATTGGGGTCTCGTTTTCTCTCGATGTTTCTCTTTATTTGTTTCGTCGCCGACGCGTCCTGAAGGATAAACAATAGATACATAGAGATAGGAGAATTATAAATTGGAACAAGTAAATTTTACGTTAATTTTAAACAAATTTCAAACAAGTTAAATTTAAATAAATTTAAATGAAAGTAGATACTTCAGAAGCACGTGTACACGCGAGGAACGTTTAACTTTGAAGCGTCGATTTCAAAGTTCGAGAGAGCTCCTTCACTTACCGCAATTGCGATGTGCAACGAGCAGTCGTCCGTGTGAACATATCGGATTTCGTCGTGGTTATCCTTCCTCGCCATTTCGCAGTCTCTCGTCAAGTGAATAGGCACGTTCCATATTCTGCTTACTCCTTTGATTAAGTTTACGTTGTCCTTGTACAGATCGTAGTCCCGCGCGTCTCCGGTCAGAATATTAACTACGAATAGTCATTTTTACACACAATTAACTGATATTACTGACATTTCTCAAGAATTAGCGGGAACGAAAGTGAATTTTTATATAATGTAAAATAACACAATAAATTGAATTGTTATAAAGAGTAAAAGAATATAATTTCCTTCGAAGTAGTTATCTTATCGCACCTTTCTCTAATTTGAATTAATTCACGTCGAATAAAGTGAGTGAATTCTTACCTTCCGGATGTAACTTTTTGCTCACATTCGCCATGCAGGTTCTGATCGCGTCGATCAGGTCGATGATCTTCTGGAAGTCCTCCTCCAACGAAACGTTCCTCAAATGCTCAAACTGAGAAACGCACAATAGAAAGAACCGTTTGAAAATACCGTTCTATTCTTATTCACAAATTATTATCGACTTGTGCGATCGATACATATGTACTTAGAACGAATTCCCGAATATAAATCGATCTACATTACTATTGAAGGTAAATTCAAGACAATTTTCCGAAACAAATTTGAAACAAATAATGAGAGAAAAGAACCTCCTCGAACTCGGGATATTCAGCCTCCAGCAACGAGGACACTTGCAGGAAGGACATCGGCAGCTTCTTGGCGAGTCTGGTGTACAGATCGTCCGCCAGGTAAGGTACGAGAGGAGCGAAGAGCCTCAGGGACACCTCGAGACACCTCTTCAGGGTGTACGAGTGACCGGATGCGACTCTCGCGTCGCCATCTCTGAAACCAAACTTCGTCCCCTCCTACGAAGAGACATATTTCTATATTTCGATATTAACGTATTGAAAACTGCGCACATATCAAGAGGATCCGTGGATATACGCACCAAGTAGAAGTCGCAAAATTCGTAATGCAGGAATTGACGAATCGCGAAGGCAGCCTTGTAGAAATCCCGCTCGGCGAACGCCGTGTTCACCGTCTCCACCGTTTGGGACAATCGGCTGAGGATCCACCGGTCCAGATTGCTCAGATTTTCCGTATCTTCGTTTCCTTCTCGGTCCTCGTTCACCATCAGCAACATGTACTTACTCGCCTGCCAGATTTTGTTGCACAGGTTCTTATACGTCCGGCAGTCTGCTATATCGAAACTGACATTATGATCTGGAAAAAAAAAAATATATATATATATTAAATAGGAATATAATAAATATAAAGAATATTTATATTTTATTTATATTTAAATACAAGTGTCTTCGTATATAAGTAGATTTCAAAATAGGACACACACACATGATCAATCTGAATTTGCGATATTTATTTTAAAAAAAAGCCTCCTTTACTTACTTTTGATGTTACGACTGCACAGTGCCATCCTGAGAGCGTCTACGCCGCAGTCGATTATCCCTTCGGGGTAAGACTTGGCGTTGACACGAAGCGTCCGACGCAGCTCGTCGGCGCTGAGGATGCCGGCCTCGTGGCTGCGCGTCGCTTGCGCGTTCAACTCCTGACAACAATAATGATATTCTTCATAAATCGAACCGTGGAGAATTACAAAGAAATGTTTATCGCCGAGAGATCTGGGTGCGCGTTGCAAAAAAAAATAAAAAAAAAAAATGGAATCAATAACGAGGAGCCGAACTTACGATATTAATCATCAACTTTTACTCGCCTCCATTCTGTTACATTACTTATAACATCGCACTCACTTCCAGGCTGCAGCCGTTGATAATGCTCTCCGGCGAGATAACGTTGCCGGAGCTCTTGGACATCTTCCTGCCGTTGGCGTCGCACAGAACTCCGTGCAGCAATACCTCCTGTATAATAATAACTTGACACGGAGATTCTTCAGAATTCGTACAGAATTGCAATTTTTACCGGAGGATGGAGGGGTTACCTTGAAGGGCAAACGTTGCGTCAGCTCCAGGCCCAGCATCACCATCCTTGCTACCCAGAGCATGAGGATGTCGTGGCCGGTCTCCATCAGAGACAACGGGTAGTACTTCGCCATGTCCTGCGTCTGTGAGTAAACAGAGAGGGTAGGTGAACATGTATTTTTGTATCAAATCACGTTTTTAATATCATCGTCTAAAATTATGATAAGTATTATCAAGGCTCCTGAAGTGACACACGAAGAAATAAAGGCAAATAGAAGAGTCGGCCGATGTTGTCAGCGTGTAATAAGTTTTTCAGTTTAATCAAATGAAAAAAATACAAAGGCCTATGAGAACCAAGCGCAAATTGTTGGCGTGAATAAATTTATACGGGAGAATATCAGGCAAACCTTCAGCGTGTCCAATAACACTGTCAAATATATTATCCTCGTATAAATTTACTCACACCAGCAACAACGTGCGCGCTTTTACAGGCTTTCGTATGCTTTTATTTGATTGTAGATCTTAAGAGCCTAGTACCGTTCGATTTGTTTTTATGTTTACATTACAGATATACAAAAGAAATCAAAGCGTTCCGATCCATCTTCGGACCCTCTTCGGTGAATATAACGCGAACAAATAGCACTTCCTTGCCTTTGTTTCATCGTATATTTTATCTAGTAGAAAGTTATCATTGATGTATCGTTGTATTTAATATTTCTCTCTTCATTCTTACATCTTCAGGCCAGCCGAGCGTGGCGAACGGCACGATCGCCGAGGAGAACCACGTGTCGAGGACGTCTCCGTCTCGACGGAGTTCCACGGCGTCTCCATATTTCCTCCTGGCTATCGAATGAGCCTCTTCCTCAGAACGTGCAACTATCCACGAGCCGTCACAGACTACGGAATACGCCGGGATCTGGTGGCCCCACCACAACTGCCTCGACACGCACCAATCCCTGAAGAAGAGGAAGAGAAAATCAAAAAAAGAAGAGAGACACAGAGAGAGAGAGAGAGAGAGAGAGAGAGGAGTCACACATGATGATAGAAATTAAGTAATAAGAACTTGACCAGCCTTATTACTACTGATTCCAATTTCTGTCTCTTTTCTGCGCGCGATTAATTAGTCCCTTATCTAACTAACCTGCTACTATTTGATTACCTGATATTACCGAGCCAGTCTCGCCACTGTTGCTCGTGCACGTCGGGCACGATCCTCAGCGATTCGTTCTCCAGCGCGTCGACGGCGTTCTTAGCCATTTCGTCGCATTTCACGAACCACTGTTCCTTCAACAGTTGCTCGACGATGTCCTGCGAGCGCGAGCAGCGCGGCAGCATCACGCTGTGCTCGTTGTTCACGTCCCGTAGAACTCCTCGAACGAACAATTCGTGCATTAACTTCTCCCTGGCGTCGAATCTCGGTAATCCCTGTCGAATAAATATTTGTATTACGTTACTAAAACACACAAGTACAAGTAAATAGAGGAACATATAATATAAACAAGGTCTCGTCAAACTTATCGACCACCTCGAAACCCTTGCAGACATCTGTCATGTTACCGTCCTCGTTGATGACGCCGATGAGAGGCAGATTGTGCTTCTTGGCGATGCCGTGGTCCCTGCGATCGTGCGCCGGCGTAATTTTCAGCACGCCTGGCGCAGAAAAGATCAGTCCTTCTCACGACTCAGTCGTAAGAATAACGTTAGCAAGGATTGATTATCCTCTCACCGGTGCCGAAATCCTTCCTGACCGCGGAGTCGGCCACGATGGGGATGGGAACGTTTCTGACAGGGTGCGTAACACGCCGGCCGATGTACCTCGCGTATCTCTCGTCGTCCGGATGCACGGCGAGAGCCACGTCACCGAATATAGTCTCCGGCCTGGTCGTCGCCACTATCAACTCCTCCTCTGCGAAAAGAAAACAACAATTAAAGTAACCCCGTGTTTTGCTTCGTTCGAACAACGCAGATTCGTTGATCTTTAAAAGGTACTTTGGAAATAATTGAGTAATTGTGATAATTATAATTTTGATCGTGATAATATGATATGACAATCGAGATATTATGATTATAGTGTAACGATCACTCACACACACACACATTATCATCATCATAATATGATAATCTCGATATTATGTTCATCATAAAATAATAATCACGACATGAAGACCGTTATGGTATGATAATTACGATACCGTGGTAATTATTGTATAATAATCACGATATCATGATATATGGTATAACAATTATAATATTATGATCATTGCAGTATGATAATCGTGATATTATGATCATGATTATCATCATTGTGACGTGATAAACGCGTTTGTGATCGTTATATGATGATCACGATATTAGGTCTATTACGATATGATAGCGTAAGGCATAATATTATGATCGTTATAATACAATAATCATAAATTATAATCGTTGTGATAATGACGACTGATGTATTTCATGAAAACCAATGAAATAAGGCATCTCCAACTCACCGGAGTCTTCCACGGGATAGGCCAACTTCATCATACGGCCGAAAGTCACTTTGTTTCGGTAGCCGGGCACACTGAGCTTGGTGCTTCCGCGAACAGCCACGTCCACCACCTCGATTTCGCTGACGGTGCTGCGCAACGAGGGCGACCAGTTGACGAAGTCGCAGCCCCTATACAACAGGCCTCGCTCATGCAACCGCACGAAAGCTTCCGTCACCGCCGCGCTGTGACGCTACGCGTGGTCAATCGTATCAATTATTAAGCCGCTTCGGAGTCGCAGCAATTCCGACTGAGAGTCGGTGATTTTAAAACCGCACCTGGTCGACGGTAAAGTACTCCCGGTCCCAGTCGAGACTGGCGCCCAGCATCTTCAGCTGATCCCGGATCGTCCCGGCCTTGTCCGCTTTCCATCGCCAGACCAGCGACGTGAATTCCTCCCTGGTCAAGTCGAGACGCGACAGATTCCGCGTGTGACGCAAGTGTTTCTCCACGACGACCTGCGTGGCGATACCAGCATGGTCCAGACCTGGTATCCACAGCACTGAGTAACCTCTCATCCTGTACCTGTGCACAGAGAAGTCTACGGTTGGAGGGACGAAAGTGAAAATAAGCCGGGAGAAGTCTTAGGAATTCCCTTTCAGCAACGCACCATCTGGCCAAGACATCCTGGACGGTGGCGGTGAGAGCGTGACCCAAGTGTAACACCCCTGTGATATTAGGGGGTGGCAAAATCATGGTGAAGGAATCCTTCCTGTCGCTGTCGCTGGCTCTCTCCCTCGAAGAGGCGAAGTACTTGTTTTGCTGCCACACATTGTACCTTTGCTCCACGTTCTCTATGTTATACGTTGCGGGGAAATCTGTTTGCAAAATCATTTTGCATTGTACGTACTTTGTTTTCATTATACACTTCACACATCGTGCTCACTTTGATTCCTTTCTTCCTCTTCTCTTCTCAAAATTCTCACACTTTACTCCTGACTGTGACAGTTTTTTTTTTTTTTTTACAAATGTAGTCAAATAATTTCTCTTCTTTACTCTGATATATTCGCTATAATAATCCATTAACCAAATATATTTTTTCTAGTTTCATGCGAATAAACATAGAGAAAACTATATGTATTATTTTAATCTTATACAGCTATTTTATGTACTTTGTGTATTATAATTCTCTAATTTTGATTTGTAAAGTATTTATAATTCTTGATTTTCTGTATAAGTTGATATAATGCTATGAGTAATTCTGAGTATTGTCGAAAGGTATGATTAAGGAAAGAACATTCAAAGGGAGGATACCTGCCAATCTTTGATCGTTGTTCGATTTTACGGAAGAACAGTAACATCTCCGGCAGAAATTCGCGCGAACGGTCAAACGGTTGCTCAACCGCTGCATGTTTGATAACTTAATGACAGTCCTGTAAATCACGAGACAAACTATGATAATGGTAATTATTTCGTTCGGCTACATCAGCACAAATATCGACGAAATTACGTTTATTCGATGTGTTTTTGCACGAAGAATGGAACAATTATAAGTTCACATTTGTGATTATAAATTATAAATTAACAGCACACCTTGCGTAGGAGCCTTTGCTAATCTTCACTGTTTTAATTTTGGTACGAAATAGACACGCACAATTTAGTAAGGCGAAGATTTAATACTTATATTTATTTATAGTCAGGCGATTTCAACGATAAACGCATTGTAAGTATATACATGCTTCAAACTCGTGCATTTCTTGTATTTTCTGTAGTCACAGAGTGTGCTCATCGCTACATTTCATCGATACAACGGATTTCCTAACCTGACAAATCGTCAACCTTGACGATTAATACCTCATTTTACGGGGCAGAACGACGCTTTTTTCTGCCAGATCCTTTCGTTTCGCGCAAAAACGCGTCGAATAAGCATAATTACGTGGATATTTCTGTTGAAGTAGCTAAACTAAATAATTACCATTGACCTATTCTTTATAAATACGTTGCTAAACCGGTGCAATAAGTTAGAGCGAAATAAAATATACCTGTTTCACTCTAACTTATTGCACCAGTTCAGCTGTGCAGAAATTGACCAATGACAGTTAATTATTCTCTTCACACTCGACTGTGATTGGTCAATTCCTTAAGGCTTAAAATACCTATTGTGGACCGACACTAAAGAACAGATCACTAAATCAGAGCCACGTAGGTAGTTTAGTGTCGGTCCACAATATGTATCTTAAGCCTTAAGCCTTAAGAAATTGTTGACTGTGATTGGCCAATTACTTAAGGCTTAAGGCTTAAAATACCTATAGTAAACCGGCACTTATATGTTGTTCGTAAGGTGTCTTCTTTTAAGAAGGATATTGCGAGGGAGATGAACTGAATATTCTGAAGAATTCGACGTATTTCGAAGATAAATTATCGATTCGCTTTGATCATCGAATCCCATTCCTACAGCAGCAGCGATAGAGAGAAGTCTCATTCTTTTTTTTTTACCTCGGTATGTAAATTTTTCACAACAGCATACACGTGATGTCAACGACAGGCTGCTCTTCAGACCATATATTTGCAAATGAGCGGCTAATATTTTATACATATGCATGATATACGCGAGGGGATTAATCCGTAAAGGAAGATTCTGAAAGCTAAAGCAGTTGCTCGATTTTGTAAGAAGATTCGGTGAATCATTGAGAAGTGATATTGTTTAGATTTGATTTAGGTTAAGTTTGATCAGTACGCAAGTTTTCATATCAAATCAATGCAGAAAGAAAGATGAAAACTCTCTCGTTAAACACTTAATAATATTCTTTTTCCCGATGTAAATAGAAAGTTATTCGAAGGAAAACCACCGGAAGTCATGGCATCGCCATTCACCTGCAGAAACTGTAACATACTGTTATGGGATCTGGAAGTCCTGAGACAACATTACAAGTCCGAATGGCACAAATACAATTTGAAGAGGAAGATAGTTAACCAACCGCCGATCACAGCTGAAGAGTTCGAGGCATTGAACGCCGTGAAATGCAAGAAATATGAAGAATCAAAGGAGAATCGATATTGCAACACATGTCGCAAGAAATTCAACACGAAGAATCAGTACGAGAATCATTTGGTTTCGAAGAAGCACAAGGAGAACTTCAATAAACATGAAAGTAACGACAGCGAATTGTCTCAGAGGACCGAAAATGCTGCGGAAACTGTCAGTGGCGATACGTCAGGACTTGGGAGCTCGATCGCCGTGGAAAATCCGGTTTCCAGCAAGAGAACAGATATGGACGATACAGAGACCGACTCAGTCGTGGAGTCTGTGGATTCGGACGGGTGGATTGAAGACACGGAGAATCCCATGGATAATAATGATTGTCTGTTCTGCGATCATCACAGCAGATCATTGACCCGTAACTTGAAGCACATGACGGTTGCGCACACTTTCTTCATACCCGATCCCGAATATTGCGTGAATATAAGGGGTCTGCTGACATATCTAGGAGAGAAGATATTCGCTGGTTACATGTGCATCTGGTGCAACGATTCAGGTGAGAAGAAATTATGCGCTAAAGAACAGTACAGGAAAGCATAAACGGTAAGATTTGAGCAGTAAGGGAATTGACCAACCAGTTGGTATATTTCTTCGGGTTTGTGTATTCCAAAAGACGCTAGAAGTGATGATAAATTCGGCCTTAAGCGGAAGTAACTACAATTTCAACAAGTTGAAAGAAACGCTCGTTTTTCCTATGTGCTCCCGGCCTGGCTCTTTATAACTCTTCGGATCTTTCTTTCTTTTCACACTTCCTTTCGCACTTTCAGGCAAAGCGTTCAAAAGCGCGGACGGTGCGAGGACGCACATGCTGGACAAGGGCCACTGCAAGATGCTGCACGAGGGCGAGGCGTTGCTCGAATACAGCGACTTCTACGACTACTCGTCCAGCTACCCGGACGCTGGAAACGTCGAGGATCCGGACGTAGAGGTGGCCCTGCCCGCCGAGCTGGACGATACCGATTATCAAATGAAACTGCCGTCCGGCAATGTGATCGGCCACCGAGCCCTAATGAGATACTACAAGCAAAAATTGAATCCGAACAGTACGGTTCACTTGTCGGTGAGCCACAAAATGCGGCAAGTGTTGCTGCAGTATCGAGCGCTTGGCTGGACAAACACGAAGAAGCAGGAGGCGGTGCGGAAAGCCCGGGATATCAAGTACATGCAGAGGCTACAGGCCAGGTACGCGACGCAGCTGCAGTTCAAGGCGAACAAGCTGCAACGTTACTTCAGGAAGCAGACGATGTTCTGAACTCCGGCCATTCGGATTCTTCGACGCCGCCGGAGGCCTTTCTACTCCTCGATCGCGAAGCGGAAGTTGCGGAGATTACGAAGGTTTCTTCGTGTCACCGATGTTATTACGTTGTCACATCGTTCACACAACTGTTGTATATTTAATGTAAAAACAGGAACAAATGTATTTATATTCGAATAAAGGGAGCGAATGGCTTTCTTTCACACCCCCCCCTCCCCCCGAAGCAACTCGCGATCGCTCGTCGCCGCTCGTCCCTCGTGTTTCGAAACGATTGCTACGAAATCGAAATTTATTCGGAAGGATACACACATCTCACGCAATACAAATCATTATAAATCGCGCGCTCCTGGCGGACGTTTTTACAAAATAACCTCGTTTTACAATATACCAGCGCAAACTCGCGCGACAACGGCGACAAAAATATTCTCTGTTCTTTCTCGCGCGTGTAACCCTCCCCCCTCCCCTTTCTTTCTCAATTTTTGTCCCTTTTAACTTGTATACTCATGTGTGGACCCGTGATTTATTCAGCAACAGAGCGAGAATAATTCTCTCCTTCGATATTCTCTCGCGTCATATAGAATGTAGTATATATATATATATATATTATTATGTATAAATTAGAAAACAATCCGCCGTCGCGTTTCGCTGATGCTCGCACGAGAGAAAAAGAGAGAAAAGAACCGTGCATTTTTGGCCTATTTACCGCAACTTGGACGTTATTATGCACCCCATGGACAACGTTCCTCACCGCGACATCAGTGAATCGCGAGACGCTCGCGGAAGGATCAACGACAGATCGCCGGCTCCGACTCGACCCCGCGATATACTTCTCAACTTGAAAGCAGATTCGCTTAATCTTAATCGCCGTAAGGTCTCGTTTCACGAAGAAACACGCTTGCAGAAAGAATCCAACCATTACCTTCGCTATCTACGGCCGTTCAGCGGCGGGACCGGGAAAGTTACTTTCTCAGAGCAATTCGTTACCGTTACCCGTTACATAATGAGAAAAAGCGACTCGTTACCTTCTACTGTCGACGAGGAAATAACGAATTGTTAAGCGTAGTCCACAATGAGTAACAAGAGCTGTGTTAAGTAAGAAGTAAGAATAAGATATCGACCAGTCATATTCGAATGTGAGGAGAATAATCGGCTGTGATCGGTTAATTTCTCAATCTTACTTCTTACAAACACACTTCCATCGCCCGTTGTAGACCACATTTTATAATTTTGTATTATTCTCTTCCCTTTCATCAAATCTCGGACATTTTTGTTTCTTTACTATTCGCTGAAACGTTCTCATGCAGACGTATTCTACATGTACGATGTAATTATCGGATTTCTCAAGAAACGGGCCGTAAAATAGCGCTAAACTCGCGCTCCGAAAAAGAGCGCATTTATCGCGCAGGTGTCGAGTTGAAGCAGCGAAATGTGAAACTACAACATTTGACACTTTCTTCATTCCTTCCCCGCGTCGGGAACTATTGTCACCTGTACTTAACATCTCTCTCGCGCGATAATCAATTAATACTTCTTTCTCGCGATATACAACGATCTTGGAGATATACTTCGTACGCCTCCGTCTTCCTTGTATTTCTTGTTTTCTTTTTTCTTCTTCCTTTGCCACTCCGGAACGATCGGCTGTCTCGGCTAAACAAATTCCGCGTTAAAATATAGAACGGGGATTCCGCGTTGGTAGACACCCGGTAGACTTTCAGCGGACCCCTCGATATGAACGTTCCTCTTTGTTTCTTTAACAACGACACCTCGTTCGAAATATTTACATGCTAATAACGGGGGTGGGGCAGTAACCGATATACCTCCGACCTCGGAGACGTTTATGAAACGTGAACTACGTGAACGCCCGGTATATACTTGTTTTTTCTCCTCTTGCTTTGCTTGTTTTTTCTTATTACGGGTAAATGTGAATCTATGGCCCGTATTAACAGTCGTTGCTCGGAACTTGTCCCGCTTGTGAGACGCTCGAGTCTGAATCTTGAGATTTTCCTTTGAATCGCGTGTAACATACGCGACATTACTCTTACAAGCGCGATTCAGTCGAAAGAGGAAACATCTAACTCTAAATTCAATTTCGAGTATCTCACCTGAGGCAAGTCTCACGCAATGACTATCAATGCGACTCTATGAGCGGGCGTCGCGTTTCTCACGAGATGCCCGACAGAGACATACACATTAGACAGAGAGCTGTTATTGTCACACGATGATACACACATTATGTACTTATCTACTTTGCGCTCTCTCTCGTTTGCGATCCGATCGAAACGCCGAAGAATGCCAGAAACGGATCGAGAAGCCCGGTCCAGTTTGTGAAACAATGATCACAGCACTTATTTTCTTTCCCTTTTCTCCCCTTTTTTTTCTCAACGAAACGCATCCGTGTTCGATAAAAGAATTAGCTTTCACTTTGGTGATCCTCGGAAGATAAATTCCTTCATTAAATCACTGGATGAGTCCTGATGTATGTGAGGGTAAAATTGTCGCAATCTTTCTTCCACCGGCCGTACTTCGAATTTTCAAACATTTTCCCTAAATCTTTCTCTTTTATATATATATATATATATATCGTTAATTAATAACTTAGCGCGCATAACGTGTTAACGTCAACGTGATATCACGCGATTGAACAACGGAGACTGTGTGTGCTCTCTGTGAATTTTTTGGAGTGAAATTTCGCTCAAAACGAGTGGAAATTCGCTCAAAGCGAGAGTGAAAATATCGCAACTCGGAGAGTCGCAAGAGCGAGCGTTTAATTCAAATTTCAAGTGGATTTTGATCCGTCCGAATGAACGGTTTAATGAGTTTTTTCACGGTTATCGCTTCGAATAAAAATACCACATTCCTTTATTCATCTCGAGTGAAGCTTTGCTCGAAAAAATGTTCAAAACAACACCAAGTTCAGTGATTTTCCGCACATGTAGAGTGAATTTGCCGACTTGAGTCATACCTTCGTTTGAAATTGAATAGTGAATCCGATATACCCGTCCCACCGGGAACAAATTCACTCTAATCGATCGAACTTTAATCGATTGCAACAAATTCGTTCCTGCGAGACGGACATATCGGATTCACTGTTCACTGTACATTTTTCGAAGCAGAATTCCACCAAGAAATTTCGAGATAACTCGTTTGTCATTCTGGGTTTTCGCGTGAATTCTTTCAGAGAGCACAATGCAATAACTTTCAGATCGGTCGCGAGTACGATCTTGAATAACACCATCTTCGCTTCCGTTTTTCCCGAGATTCGTAGCGAATCGGTACGACTTGATCCATCTTTCTGTTTTCAGCGCCTCGATTCGAAATCTCTCCTCTTCCGTTTCTCCTTTAGCTTCAATCCAGCAGCTTCACCATCAGCTTGAGCGCCTGGTGAGGCGGCGCCGGTCTGATGGACTCCTCCAGTTCCGTATACGGGATCTCCGCCTCCACCTGGAAGCCGTGTTTCAGGCAGACCCTCTGCGAGTACACGCCGGTAGCGTCGGCCTTGAATATCTGAAAGATGAATGCAAGCGATGTCGTTCTTCGTTTTGTATGAAAATTGCCGATACAAGCCCTTATTAATAATCGTTGCTTTAAACCTGCCTGGTGAGATATTCGGATTGAAATTTAGAGTCGAATTTGAGGTTTTCAATGGAAACAGGATTACAAATATAACGTCATACTCGTATATTTAGCGGAAACACGTCTGATTCGCAACCGCTCAGTCAAAATCCGCCGGCACGAGCTCCAACTCACGCCTGTCTCTTTTGAAATTTGGTCGATCGTGAAACGACGATCTTCGTTGATTTTTCCGCGGATTTTTTCAACCTTTTCATCGTTTCGAGATGTTGAAGGACGCCCGGAACGAGCATGGTCTTTAACACTCATCTCACCACGTTTAAAGCGCCCAAACCACTCGAAAACTTGCGTGCGGCTCATAGCATCCTCTTTAAAAGCCTGTTGCAACATTTGGTAAGCTTCCGTTGCCGATTTGTCAAGCAGGAAACAAAATTTCCAACACACTCTTTGTTCTTTTAAATTCGCCATAAGGACTCCGCAGGCGGGAAAAAATAACAGTAAGAGAAACACAACACTACGCTCAAACGTAAACCTACAAACTGACGCCGTCTGCACAGCTGTTTCGTGAAGGTCTCTACCAACCTCAATGTCGAGGGAGAACTTTCTACTACGTCTACGAATGGCAGCGCGCTCTCAGTTCGGCTTTTTTTCGGTCCCCCCTCGCATATTGCATGATTCAAGTGAAAAATTTAAATCTAACACTAAATTTTCTGAATTCAGATCTAAGAGATCTCATGTGACACAAGTTTCAAATAACGATTATTAATATAGGTGATAATCTTATTCGCGCATAGTCGCGTCAAAGGGGTGGATCGATACAGTGGTCGCCTTTTCTCATCGTCTGAAAGCAATAATTTATCGTGTCTTCGGAATTAAAAGCCGATGTGAAATTTATCCTCACGCAAAATTCATCAGCATAACTTATATTCAAGCCGGTCTCCGTGAATCTTCAGTAAACTTTCTCAATACTTCTTCTTCCAGCTTCTTTCCTTTTGCGAGCGCAATTTTTCGGCGTGCATTTAGCATAAATAGCTTCGCTCGAGTGATTAATAATCGCAGAAAAAATGATAAGGTGTGGATTTAGACGGCTGGTGTTGGGCAATTCTCTCCTGTCAAAAATCTGTCCGTATCGATCAGCCCCGTCGGCGCAGAGAGAGGGCTGCGTGCGACACGAATACCTTTCTGGGAGAAAGTAACGGAAGAACACTGTGATATCAGTGACTTCGGTAAACGAAAATCACTCCATGCATATTAATCGAAGGGCATGCTGAAACAAAAGGAGAATGTGCTATACATATACATATGCGCGTTATTACACCAGTAGGCGGTTATACCGACGCGTCGATCTTAAATTATAACGAGACGAAAATAAAAAAAAAAGGAGGAAACTCTCTCCCGACACGTTTTTTGCTCCTTCTTCCTCTCTCTTTTTTTTTTCTTTTTTTTTATAGCGTTAGTAAAATCAATATAGGTGCGAAAGTTCGCTCTCCGCGTATATTTTCGAAGCGCCTCGACGTCCCCACCCGAAGACACCCCCGCGTACGTGCGAACAAGTGAATTTCGTGAGGGAAACCTTGAAACCGGCGTTCTTCGCGATTTCCACACAATCCGCCATCAGGATGTTCGCCAGGCCTTTACCACGATGATTCTCGTCAACGCTGAGGATCCGGCACTCGAACAGCTCGTCAACATTGTACTTGGCGAACAGATCGACCTTCTCGTTTACCTTGTAGAGCAATCCGAAGATCGTCTTGAACTTTTTGTCGTTCAACTCGACGAGGCGCCGTTCTGCCTCTTCGCGTTCGCCCTTCTTCAATATGCCATTTAGTGCCATACCCGCTATCTGATAGAAGAGGAAGCTGATAACAGGCGTTTACTCTCGGCGAGAGGGATATAATTGCGTTAGTAAGTAAAGAGGGATATGTTAATGTTGAAATCAGCAAATCGAAATAGAAGCAGAAGTGAATAATATAAATAGTTGATTATAAATAAAATATGAAAAATATATCTACGAAAGTAAAATATATAAATAATATAATAAAGATGGAATTTAAATATAAAAAAATAAAATATGAATAAAAATCTGTATAATATATATAAATATAACAAATTATAAGTAATTCACACAGTTGTATGTGCTATTTCTAAAATATCCGATTGAGTAACGCTGGAGTAATTAAAAAAAACGAGATAAGAGAATTGTGTCATTATGCCGTTCAGTGCCACACCCAAGTAAGATCGTTCTGAAGATTTGTGTAATCATCTTTCGCGACATAAGAAATACAAAATATCGAGACCTTGACAGATTAAGGGATTGAAAGAAATATGAGATTCTCCGGAGATCTATATAGTGAGTAAGAAAGATATTTTGCATATTCTATTCTTGCGGAATGATAGTGAATATGTATTATCTCGAAAAAAGACGTGCCCAAATTCGAAAAATGGAACGATTTTTCGAAAAGTCAGAAAAAGATTCTGAAATCCGAATATTGAAACGATCTCTTGAAATATTGATAGCATGCTATTGTCTCAGAAAGTAACGATATAGAAATTAGTACATCGATAAGCACCAAAAATTATTATTATTTCCGGAAAAGCTGAATTTTTTTAATACACTGTCTCGCGGTACTAATTTCAATATTATAACCGTTGAACAAGAAACGTTAGATTAACACTTTTAAACGTTGGTTTTACGTCTCTTGTATATTTCCACTGAACATTTTATAAAATTTTAAAAATATTACCGGACAGTATATATTAACTTTTCAAATATTGCGAAAACATTTTAAAAACAAACGGAATATCAAAGTTGTTCGAAATAATGTTGATACAACGTTGAAAACTGCATATTAAAAGATGTCACATGCTATTAAATGACGTTGCAACAACGATCTACGATCTTTTGTTCACTGAGCATATTTTCAGGATAATTGCACGCTTCTCCAATATTTCAGGACAGTTGCATGATATTTAAGGAATTGTCTTATTAGTTGGATCCCTCAAAATTAAAATCCGTATTAATAGTCGTTATTTAAGATTTGCCTCAAGTGAGATGCTCAAATTTGAATTTAAAGTCAGATATTAGTTGAATCGCGAGTGTAAATGAAACATATTATTACATGCTTCAAATGAAAGGATATAATCTAACTCTAGATCTGAGTATCTCACGTGAGACAAATTTTAAGTGACAACTATTAACAGACATTACCTTAGACTTTTCGAGAAATCGTCCCACTCGAGTCGAGTTTCGAGATTTTGATAAACTTTCGGGAAACAAAGCGGCACGAATTTGTCGGTTAACCGTTTGCCAACGTCGGCCAAACATCGGGCGACAGTTAGCCGAGCAATCTGTGTTACCCGGGATGTTCCCGTGCCATACCGAGTATAATTTGACAAGTGGCTCTCATGGGGTGAACGCTCGTGTACGTACCGCTCCCTTCTTGTCCAACAACATCCTCGAGTAGCCTTGCTTCAAGGTGAGCAGGCAGTGCCTCTCGAGCTCGTATTGCGGCTCGCCCTTGGTGCAGAGTCCGACCGCATTGTTGAGCGGCTCGTCGGCGAAGAAGTTCCACTTGAGATGGTGGATCGCCTCGTCGAAACGCTCCTCCGACACGTCCACGACCGTCAGGCAATCGGACGACATCTTTGACGACCGGGGTGGTCGACACGGCGCGAATTTTCCGCGCAAGCTGAGAGCAGCAATTCCCACACGCGCATCACACACCCCTGTGGAGTGGCGAACGGGGGTCGCACCGCCGCCGCCTCCTCGTATGATGGGAAAAGCCCTCGTATATTGATCGACCCAGTTCGGCAAAACGCACCACTGGGTCAGTCGTACACGGTCATCGACAATGGCCGCGCGCAGCCATCATTCGGCTGCGCGTTAATTCAATACAAATTTCGAGGAGGGATCTGCTACGAAAGGCTGGAGGAGAGACGGAAGAAATCGAGATTGAGAGAGTACAGAAGGTTGGGGACAGCAACGTGTTACTTGTAATGCCGTTACCGGCCCACCCTTTTTCGACTAACGACGTTATATTTTTTTTTCATTAATGATGGTATGGCGGTTTCTTTTTCCGGGGTAACGAGTATAATGTCACTTTTATCGTTGCTTCGCACACACGTACAGGATGTCAATGTACAGAGCAGTATACAACAGTTTGTCTAGACGTTTTCTCGCAGGCGCATTTTTTCCGAGCAAAAACGTGAGAAAGTGTGTGTGTGTGTGTGTGTGCAAAGCGTTTTATAAGGGTGTATGCCGCCAAAGCCGTGCTGAATTCGTCTTTGAGCGCGCGCCTATCAGCGAAGCGAGTAGGCAACCCGTTATACCGATCTGTATGTTGATGCAAAACTCCGTATAATACATATGGGAGAGCGCAAGGGAATCTTGAAGACAAAGGGTCTTTAAAACTTGGTGAAAAAAGAAGGAAAATTTTGTAACGACTCGTTTAATAACGATAACCGTAACGAGTTATTTTTCAAAAGTAACTTTCCAACCTTGACTTTGGAGAAGCTTGAGAGAGACGCTTGGTCCGTTTCTTTTTAATTGGCTGTACAGTCAACCCTCCTATAACGCGGTATTCTCAGAACGCGGTTTCCATATAACGCGGAGCAGAAATTGCGACAGCCCTCCTATAACGCGGTACTCTCACAGCGCGATTTCCATTCAACAACGTCCCATCAGTTCTTTCCGTGCACCCAATGAATGATTTTAACCACTTGCGGTGGAAAGACGTGCTACGCACGTCGTAATGTTTTTGTCGCAGAATCGCCAACGACGTGGTATACACGTCGTCAGGCAATTGTCACAGAAACGACGTGCGTGGCACGTCGGCTGAGATTGCTGGCACTGTTCGAGCGACAGCGAAGAAGCGCAAAATCGCTCCGTGGCACTCAAACGGTTTATTTGTGGTTTATAATTGGACAACATTACACAATACTGTAAGTAATATTCTTCATTTGTTCTAATATAATAATAATAAAGTAATTTTTAACCCTAGATTTGCATGATGTCAAACACAAAAGAAACAAGGAAAGGATTAAAAAGAAAGTTTATATCTCTTGAAGATAAAATCCAAATTTTAAATCGTTTAGAAGGTGGGGAAAAAATATCGTCTGTTGCAAAATCAACAAATTTGAATGAATCTACAATTCGAACCTTAAAGAAAAATGCAGATAATATAAGGAAAACTGTGGCAAATGGCTGTCCGTTAGGTGCGAAACGTGTCACTCGCA